ACTTATTCTGATTTTGTTACGGGACTATTAAATAAATCAAAGATTTTTTCTTTCCGTGTGATTTTTTCTTTTCGTAGCTTCTGGAATATGTCTTAGTATTATGCTATATTATTTACAACTTTGACCAATTTTAGGCCAAAACTTTTTCCCCATTTTTTCGTCCTTTTTTTGAGTCTTTCCCTTCCCTTGCCTGTGCTTTTTCCTATTTCTTATGTTGTTAGTACCAAAATTATCTTTAAAGCTGCATCGATTTTATTACTTAATTAATAAATATTGATTTCTCAATTTTTCTCAAACCACTCATAGGATATTTACTGTTCATAATAACTTTTGTACTTATTATTTATTAATGTTGTTCGTTGCATAAATCTATAATACATGTTTTCCTGCACCTATTCTCCTCCCCGTTCTATTTCATCCTTTATCACTGTCCATTTTTGCTTATTACTTCTCATTTACTGCTTCCCTTTTATACTTTTGTGCCTTTGACTCTTTCTGTTTGCTGTTTTTTTACCCATGAGCATTCACTCTTTCACTCCACAGTCCACCATTTACTACTGTTTAGTCTTACTTTCTATCCTTAACTAGCTGTGTTCGTTCTTGGTTGGCTGATATCTTACATTTAGCACACTTTTCAGAGTGGTCTAGGTACTATTAATAACTTCTGCTCCCTTTTTTCTCATGTTATTAATGCTTGCTCGCATGTTATTAATACTCGCCGTTGTCTTTTTTCATTGCTTTTATCATTATTCAATGGAATTAAAATCTTTATTTGTATTTTATCTTCCTGCCATCTTCTTAATATATGTCGTTGTGTTTCTTCATTGCTTTTGTGGACCTATGGCTTTACTGCCATCTTTTTTGTGGTTTTAATTTGCTTTGTAGCAGTATATGTACTTTTCTGTTTTTACTTAACATATTTTATACTTAATTGGCTTCAGTGTAGAGGAATAATTTTTATAATTGGTTTTTGGTTGTTCAATACTATGAAATCTATTGAGAAACTGTTATGAATGTGTTTTTACTTATTTATCTAGATTATGATTTTGACTCTATTTTTTTGTTTGCAATTGTTTAGATATTTTTTATTTTTTCTTCCTTTTACTCACTCTAACATTCTGATTTTTTCGTTGCTTGGACTCATATTTGTATACTTAATGCTCACTGTTTTAGGCTATATCTTTTTCGCCTGTCTTTGGCTGCCATATTTTGTGTTTAAGACATTGTTCAGAACGTTACAGGTTATTAACGTTTATTCATATATTTTTATTATATATTATTGATATCAAATGTGTTGATTTTCTTTGCTGCTCTTACTTCCTGCTGTTTATAAATAGTGCTTAAAGAAAACATGCATTTGTTGTTATGGTTACTCTTTTTTCTGTTCTGTTGTTGTATACTTATGATATATTGATTTCTCATTAATTTTTTTTTATAGTCACACAGATACATATATGCCTATTTTCTTAACAGATTTTATCTTTATTTGTTTTAGACCCGTGGCAATGATGATTATAGTTGATTTTGGTCTTTTCAGTCCCATTTAATCTGTCCAAAAATTACCGTGAATAAGTCTTCCCCATTTAGACCTCCTTTGTGTCTATTCTTTTTTATTCAAAAAACAGTTTAAATCTCTTTTCCTCTTTTCTTCAATATTTATCAATGATAATGACAGCTGATTTTGAACTCTTGGGTTCGACCTAATATCTCCCAAAATTACTGTGACTAAACTCCCCCTATTTGGATTTTGATTTTTTCTATACTTTTGACTAAGATAATTTAAACTCCTACCTTTTCTTCTATTGGTCTTCCTTATTCGAATTCAATTGAGATTCGATTGAATCCTGTTAATTCAATTTCCTCATTCTGTTTTTCTTATAATTTTTTAAATTTTGATCTTCAATACACCAATACCATTACTGCCACTATTTTCGTTTCTGCTATTTTTTACAATATTCACTCCTTACTTTTAGACTTTTATTGTTTATATTTAACTATTTTGTTCAAAAACCATTCCTACAAATAATATATGCGCTTTTTCTATTTCTCTTTCCTGTATTAAGTCTTTTATTTACATCACTCTGTTTTTTTTTTGAATTTATCTCCATCTTTTTCATGTCCCATCTTTTTTCTTGTTTCTTTTTATTTTACTTTCCAAATTTTTTGGCCTCTCCCTTTTGTCTGTCCTTTTCCTACCTTTTTTTTGTGTGTCCTATACTCCTATACCTTCAATTTCCCCATTGTCGTTGGCTTCAGCTTTCCTGCTTGCTTTAATTCTGTTAGGAATGGTGTTCTAGAAGTATGAGATATAATAAGATATTTATTATTTATTTAATAAAAGAGTTTATTTATTATTTTATGTGCATATATTTATGAATATTTTATGAATATCAATAAAAATTTCATAATTATTTATGTAATCTTAAACATTGTATATAAGTGTTATATATAAGAGGATAATGTTTAAGGATAATAATTGTTTAAGGATAATAATCAAAAAGCAATGTTCATAATGAATTTAATTAAAGTTAGGAATCTTTAATTAAAACATTATTAATACATGTCATTCCCATTTAGAATGGAACGGTGTTATTCGCACTGTTAATATGGTGAGATATTAAATGAGTGTATTTCACATAATGAGATTATGTGGAACAAGGACACAGACACAATATGAATTTCTAATAATTTCGTTAAGTATAGAAATTCTAATTGAGTCTACCGATGGTCATATATAAGATGATCTTAATCTTGAGTTTTTAACAGACTCTTATTTATGGATTTGTGTCTTTTGATTTATTCGGTACGGATTCTGAGATCCTGAATCCTATTTCTTGTATTTTAGAGACATGATGAAATAGGTAGTCGGGAATGTTATTACACGAGATGGAATCCATTCCTTCTTAAGAAAGAAGTAGATAAATAATTTTCTTTAGGGTTGATTCGGTACTTGGACCAGTAGGAGCTCCGATTTATGAATGTGTTTTATGAATCACGATCTATATGCAATGACTATATTAAATGGACACTTCACAGTTTATAAGTAATTTATGTCTAATTTTGAGAGTGCAATTCCAAGTTTATAGTGGAGTAACTATTGAAATTAATAGAATTAATTAATTAATTAAAGTGTTTAATTGATTATTAATTTTATTGGAGTTCGGGATTATAGGTCTATTAGTTCCCGCGTCGTCCTAGTAATTCTGTCAAACACAGGGGGCAAAATGGAAATTTTAGAATTACAGAATTTTAAAATTAAATACTCAAAAATAATTAATTGAGAATTAATTATTATTTAAATAATGTGATTATTTAAATTTAAATTTGAACACATCTAGATTTATCTATTTAAACTTATTTGATAAGTTGTTTAATTTAGAATTCAAATTAATTTAAGTTTGACTTAAATTGAAATTTAAATTTGAGTCAAAATTAGACTACATGATAAATGATGATTTTCTCTTCCTTTCCTATTTGAGATTGGCGTCACACAGGGATGAGAATCCCTTTAGAATGGCCGGCCATATAGGATAGAGGAAAAGAGGAGATTTTGTTTAAAATTCAAATAAGAGATAATTAACAAGTTTTATCTTAGAGATAGAGATTGGATTCCTTCTAGAAGTTTGACTTTTACTTTATAAATACTATTTTTTGAGATAATTTTCGGAATTGTTTTTTGCCTTAATTTTAAAGATGGCCGAAATTTCTCTATAGAAAGAAGGAAACATTTTTTCTTCAAAAATTTCACATCGTGCATGTGATGGTGTTTGTAGAAATTTGAGTGTTTATTGTAACCCGTTTTGTCTCATGTGTGCCCACACACATATCTTCGTGGATTTTAGGAATTGACGTGGAAGACATTGGTTTTCTAAACATAAAGATTGGAGCAAGGACTGTTCGTGGTCAAAAAACTCAAGTTATCATCCGAGTCGGCTTCCAGGTATTTTTCCTGATTGAGTTCTTGATAAATGAATTAATGAGATTAATTTATTCGTGCATAAATTAATATAATCTATAGAGTATCTCAAAAATTTTATGAAAATTTTTGTTATACGCGATCCGCCTTCCCCCCGCACCACCACGCTTCCACATCCGGATTCGATCCGGAGACCAACAAATTCAAATAAAATATCAGTGGTTATTAATTATTTAATGATTTCATTCTAGCCATTTCCTCCATTTTACTTGGCTGAAACATAGAATGAGTCTGCAATCAACTTCTATCCGGCCTCATTGTCTTTCTGATGTTCATGTTTTCGTCTTCTTTTTTCTTAATTCACATGGTAGTTTTTGGACAGAGTAATAATCTGTTTCAGCCTTTGTTTCGTATGACAAAAAAGTCATAATATGTATGGCAAAAATAAAATCTGATTAATTTTTGTGCCTTTATGCAGTTGCCATTAATTGGTAGCCATAAAATGGTGATATCTTTTTCACCTCTCTGCAATTGCCATTAATTGGTTGCCATTAATTGGTAGCCATAAAATGGTCATAGAAATATAAATCAGCTAATTTGCCATACATTGTTGATAATAACTAATATCAAAATCACAATTAGTCCATAAAAGCATTACAAAACTCATAATTTATCTACTCTTTCATATTCAATATTTCTTATTAGTTATTTATTTACTTACCTTTTCAATATTCTCACATCTTCTTTGTATTTATGATATTTTTTCACGATTTTCTGTTATTAACAATTTCTAATATTTTTACTCTTACTATTTGAATTAAAATTTGTTTTTCTAGGATATTATTACAATATAATAATAATAATAAAACTCCATTTGAACTATTTATCCATAATCACTTTACTCTTTTGACAATAATATTGTACCCTTTTTCTTTCTTTTCCTCTTCTTTTTTTTGTTTGTACCTAATGAACCTGTTGGTTTTTTAGACTCTCCTGATGTGTTTGGACGATTTTGTTTTTATTGTTATTTACTCTTATTTTTCTATCCTTATCTAATTGTGTTTCTTCTTGGTTGGTTAATATTTTACAGTTACCACAATTTTCACAGTGATCCAGGTATTCTTAATAACTTCTACTCCCTTTTTTTCATATTATTAATGTTTGCTCCCATGTTATTAATATTTAGTGTTATTTTTTTCCATTGCTTTTATTATTATTCAATGAAATTGAAATCTTTATTTCTGTTTTATCTTCCTACTATGTTTTTAATATATACCATCGTCTTTTTTCATTATTTTTATCAACTTATGGCTTTACTATTTTATCATTATTCAATGGCATTCAAATATTTATTTGTATTTTATTCACTTTTTGGCATTATGTTTAAGTATGTTTTTAATTTAGATGTTTTCGTTTTACTTTCTTTCCCATCTTTCTTATTTTTTTGCCTATATATTTGTAGTTGTCTCCATTTTTTTGAAAAACCTTGTTTCGCAGACAAGAGTGTGGACAATATATTTAATACCCTCTACTAATGTAGTTCTCGCTGCTCAACTATATAGATGGGGATTTTCTTCGCCCATGTGTAACAGCAAATGGTGAAACAACGAGCACCAAGCTCTTTTGCCTATGCACTTACGAGGACTCATTCACTTAATGACATTTCCTTCCGGATTCAGTTTTTTATATTTTGATCGGGTAATTTGCATATTCTGATGATTACAGGTTTCAGAACAAGTCTTCAAACCAGATGCCTTCTGCAGCCTGATGTTCTACCAAAGTATCAGGCGACACATACGCTCAACGGCTTTCTGGAAGTGATGGGAATGACACATACTCAAACGAAGGATTTCCTACCGTAGATGAAAGGTACTTAACTAAAAGGGGGACCATCTCAACTAAGAGGACAAAATAAGATTTTTCAATTATACTTTCAACAAAGAGGACCACAAAAGAATGCAATAGTTCCAAAAATATTTGAAGACAGAGCCTCTAGCACTACCAACACCAACATCAACAGTTGTAGCACCAAGCACAAAGTAAAATATTTCTATTGAATTCTACCCATTACAAATAAATAAATGATATCTAATATATAAACTATATTTTACCATTTTAGCCCTCAAACAAAGACAATAGCAAAAACTCTAACACCAGTCGATCCACAAACTCCAGATCCAAAAAAATCAACCATTCGGTATATATATATATATATATCTAAATAAACTTTCACCATTACAGTTCTCGATCAAAAGAAACAGAACAATCTACAAAACATCCGAGAACCAGTTAATATCATTTCTTCTAAATCAAATATTCTCAATTTCATCAATTATCAATACTAACTGTTTAAAAATATATATCTTGCAGGTACAAAAAAAAAAAAAAAAAAAAAAAGAAGGCAACACAAAGACTGAAGAAAAATCTCAATCACAATGTAAATATATATTTAGTAGAACATTATATAGGCCATCCATGTACAAATATGTATATATAAACTATTTATGTATTGTAAAAATTATCAAGTTCTCATGTAGTATAAAACATTTTCCCATCTTCTCCCTCACTGCAAAAAAAAAAAAACCGTCCCTTTAATCTTACACTCATTTTCAACACTTTATCTTTAACATTTATCATATTCAAAATAACACCACGTACTATAAAATTATTACCCGTGCAATGCACGGGTATTTCACTAGTATTAACTATAAATAGAGATAATATTTTTTTCATATTAATAAAAAAGCATACACCGATATTAACTATAATTAGAAAGTATAATTCAAAATAATGAATAAAATACCCCACATCTTTAGTGAGCGCTAATTTCATATTCATAAGAGATTCTTACTGTGTCGATGTGATAAAAAAATAATTATTGCGTATTTGTTAAAGTTTACAAGGAGTGTTCTTGCTCTTGTTTAAAAATTAATATTTATTATCTTTATTAGTAATCTCGACTCTCAAAAGCTAATAATAAAAAAATTTATAGAACTATATTGGATAAAAGCAGATTGATTCGCTGAAGAAAAATATAACCCATTGAACACAATAAAAAATGACACAATAATAAAAAAAAAATAAAGAACGATGATTGATAAGTAAAGCAAAAAAAAAAAAAGAAAAATGTTGATGCATTACTATAATTTTTTTTAAAAGGAAGTATTATAATATTAACAGTTGAATGAGATTATATTATTTTGTAAATTAAATCAAGCTTAAGTTAGAGGGGTATTAAGGGAGAAGGTTATATTAAATATTATGAAAATTGTATCTATAAAAGGATAAATCTTTTATATTTTTATTAGAAAAATATTAATTGTTAGGGGTATTTATAAATTTTATGAGCGCAAATATAACTACTTTTTTTTTTTTAAATCTATTTAATTTTTTGTATTAGTTTATCCACCATATTCAAAATGTCAAGCAGCGTCTTGGGCAGCAGTGGAGAAAGGAGTTTGCCGATCTTTGTTCCGTGCTCATTGACGTGCCAATGCTGCAATTATTTATTTATTTATTTGCTATGAATGCTGCAATCTTTTGAGCCGTTACTTGAGGCCCCAAGCCAACTTTCACGGCGTGCACCACTAGTGCTGTAATCTCGTTGTTGTACAAGTTGTCAACTAGTTCATCCTTCTCAAGAAATTATAAAATCTCTCGCAGCTACGGGAACTGTAAAAACCTGTATCATACAGAGGTAACTTCGCATAAGCATCTAAGTAATTTAAATAATTATTGAAATGTCGGATATCAAAACTTTAGATAATCATCTAGTTAGTAGGTTTTTCCCCCTCCTATAAATAACAATCTTTTTAAATGAATCCAGATAACATAACATAACTCTTAAATTCAGACCGACTAATACACTGGCACTAACCGACTAACCCAGAATTCAAAAAATAAGGCATCGTTCATTTCACCGATTTGAGTTTAAAATTTGAGTTTTGTTACAGTAAAAAGCTCTTACATAAAGTCACATATCAACTCGAATTAAAAACTCGAATAAGCAAACTAAACCGACTCTAAAAGCACATACCTCGTTTGCACCATAGTCCATATGATATCCCTAGAGATAAACACGAGAGTATAATTTCATTAAAAAAATAAAAAGAAAAAGAAAAAGAATGAGAAGATGATTGTGTTGCTAATAGTGCTGAACTTTCGGGTGACGGGCATGCTTGATGCCTGAAAATTTTCGGGCACGGTGGGCAGGCGCCATTCGCCGCCTGTTCGACCTTTTTTGCCGGGCACGGGCTCGGGCAGCCCAAAAAAAATCCATTCCGGCTGCCCGCCGCTAGATTTTTTTTTAATTTTCCCGCGTAACCTGAATTTACCCGAATGTTGCCCGAATTTTTTTGACCATTAGCCCAAATTTTACCCGTTGCCCGAATATGTCCAAATTTTTTTTACTGTTAGCCTGAATATATGCCCAAAATTTGAACCCAACGACTCTTTTTGCCCGACCCGACCGCCACCCGAATTGTGCCCAAAATTTCAAACCCCAACAGCTATTTTTAAGACCGTTGCCCGAATATGCCCGAACCCGACCCGAAGCCCGAATTTGACATAGCCGTTGGAACCGAATTTTTGGGGAAAATTTTTTTTTTTCAAGCCAAACAATTTTCAATAAATACCCCCCCCCCCAGAAGGGCAATTTCCTAATATTTTTCAAACGCAGGAATCACAAACTACAGAAAGAGTTGTTGAGGAAACTGTAAATTCGAGCCCTGGTGGACGTACTATAGGTCGTGGCATAATGGTGGTGGCACTGGTGGGCGTGGAGGAGAGGCAAGCGGTAAAGCTAGTGCAAGTGTTGCAAGTTCTAAGAAGAAATGCAAGCGCACCTCAGCAGTTTAGGAGCACTTCAACACATTCGAAGAGGTCGACAATAACGATAATATTAAATACATAGCTCAATGTAAATATTGCGGTGATAAATTACAAGGTAACACTATTCACAGCACTACACACTTGAGAAGACACTCTGAAAAGTGTCTTCAAAGGCAAGGAGGCCGATCCGATCTCCGCCAAACACAATTATCATTTGACTGCCAAACCGGCGGTCTAACCACTTGGAAATACGATCCGCAAGTCGATCGTATGGAAATGACACGCTTAGTAGCCACATTATATCAACCACTTAGTTTTACTGAACAAAGGAATTGGTAGCGTTATATTAAAATTGTACATAATCCTAATGCACAATTTTTTCAAGAACTACTCTTAGGAAAGATGCATTAAAATTATATAAACAAGAAAATGAAGCATTAATCAATCTTTTACACTCTACTAGTGGTTGTGTTGCGTTAACGGCGGATATTTAGTCCGCTGTTGCCAACAAAGATTATTTAGCTGTAACCGGACATTATTGTAAAGGTTTTGATTTGGATAAGAGAATATTAGGTTTCAAATGTGTTATAGGATCACATACTGCCAATTTAATATATAACACAATTTTATCTGTCATTGACGAATATAGTTTAAGAGATAGAATAATGGCATAACATTAGATAATGTAACTGTAAATACTAAAGCAATAGAACTTTTTGAAAATGATTTAAGTTTATTCGGTAATAATGATATATTTCACAAACGTTGTGCATATCATATAATTAATTTAATAGTAAAATCTGGTTTAAAATCAATGTCAGGTAATATTAAAAGAATTAGAGATAACATTGCTTGGATTCAAGGTAGTAATCAAATAATACAAGATTGGTTTAGATTTCTACGAGCATGTAATCAAAATCCTAGAGCATTAGCCTTAGATATGCCCATAAGATGGAACTCCACTTATGTAATGCTTGAACAATGCATCCCCTATAAAGATGCTATAACAAATTATGTTAGTGCAAAATTAGGAGCATGATTTATAGATGAAACTGATTGGCAAATTACCGAACTCTTGTTTAACTTTTTAGATAGATTTCACGAAGTTACTTTAAAGCTTAGTGAAACTTATTACCCAACGTCACCATTAGCATTAGGAGAACTTTTAAGAATGTCTATTTTATTTAGTGAATTTAGGACACACGAGGTTTTAGGAGTTCCTATTGCCTATATGGAAAAGAAGTTTAAAAAATATTGGTCTAAATTACCAATGTTGTATGGTTTTGGTATTATTTTCGACCCTGATTAAAATTAGATGGTTTAGAAAGTGGATTAGATAACTTATGTGACTTTTTAGCTATTGACACTACTGACCAATTTCCTATTATAAAGGAAACAATATTTTCTCCCGATCGCTCTTATGAAAGTAGGTTTAGAAACACACCTCGTGTAGAAGAACCGCAACAACGAGACGAAAATCCGCATTCATTCTTGAATGTTTTCGGGTTGTCTAAGAAGAAGAAGACGACGGCGACGAGTCAAGGTCAAGAAGAATCTGGGAGTGGATCTTTATCAAGAGGTGGCGGTAACAACGGCAGCTTCAACGAGTTAATGGCGTACCTGAGTGAGGGCTTAGTTGTAGACAATAGTGAAATGTTTGATTTGGTTCAGTGGTGGAGGGCACGAGCATTAACTTGGTCGATCCTAACACGACTGGCAATGGATATTTTTTTGATCCCAGTCTCCATGGTTGCAGCCGAACAAGCATGCAGTACAACTTGCCGAATACTTGAAGAACAGAGAAACACATTGCAACATGATATTATTGAAGCTTTGGTGTGCATCAAGGATTGGGATCGTTCCGACCAACGCTTACACGATACAATCTCACCGGCAAGCCAAGAATGGATCGACGAATTTAATAGATTAACTTTTAATTTTTAAGATGATCCTTCTGCTTCAAATTAAATTTTATTATTGTAATTTGCAAATATTTATTTACTTTGTATAGTGTTATTGTAATCTTGTATAGACTTTGTAAGTTTGTCAAATTTGTAATTCATCCCACAATGATTGCACTTTTTTTTTCCTTATCAAGTTTTTATCCTAATTGAGTTTTTCTTGGTAAGGTTTTTAACGAGACAATCATGAATTACAAATTTAAAAATCAATAAAGAAATAATTTTTTTTATATAGTTCATGTGTTCATTTCAAATTTTAAATTGTAATATATATATATATATATATCTATAATAATATATAAATATAGAATATAAAAAAATTAAAAAATTCAGGCATTTTCAGTCGGGTAACGGGCAACCCGACCGAGCACATGCAGCTAAAGGCTGCCTGAAGCCCGTCCAAGGAGAAATTCGAGTCAGGTCAGGTAGTTCGGGCTCAATCATCGGGTAAAAATTTAGACTTTTCGGTAGTCGCGGACGGCCTGCGCAAAGTTTCAGCACTGGTTGCTAAGCGTGTACTAGCTTATTGGCTACTAAGATATTTCTTATGGGACGTATCATGTTATCAACTCAAACTAGGCCGAGTCATATGTTTGTAGTTTTCTCGGTGGCAGTTAAATCACAACTTGAGCTACACCAATATGTATGTCATTGTGCCATTTAAATAGTAACAATAATAATAAGTATTAAGTAATTACACTGTAGTTCTTTGGGACTTTCTCCGATTTGATTTTTATCAATAAGGCTGTTTCTGATTTATTAAATATGGTCAAAATTATATTAAATTAAAAAAATATGTAAAATAAATAATTTTTGATACATACATGACAACTGAAAAATTACAGATAATTTTTTTTTTTTTTTATCCTACAGAGAAATGTATTGAATTTGTGAAAACACGCATTTCACACCGTCAACAAAAGCTAACATGTGGCCTATTAATGTTTGTCAATTTGCATTGGGTTTTTCAGAATCTTTTTGGTTCACATAACAAATTTTGCAAATTTATAGACAATCGTGGCAAGCCAATGGACTCTCCTAAGACTTTGGTGTAATTAAATAACTGGTAGCTTTTGCATTTGCGTTACTATTTTTCTTTCTGTCCTTATCCTTTGAATGGTAACAAATAACTCGGCATCCGGTGACAAAAGGCATACGGTGATCTCTAACAACTGCAATCATAATACGTTTTTGAAAAGGAAAAAAAAAAAAAAAAAAAAAA